GAACCAGAGAGAGGCCTCTGGGAGCCGAGGGCAGCTCCCCTTGACCATCAGCAAGGAAACCAGCTCTCTTACACCACGTGGCAGTGAATTCTGCTGACGCCCCAATGAGCAAAGAAACAGACAGTCCCAGGTTATCAGAAGTGACGCAGCCTGCTGACACTTTGATGAGACCCAAATGAGACTTCCAACCATTTAACTAGCTGTAAGAGAACTGTATGTCAATTGTAGTTGTCAAGGTATTTTGTTGCAGCGGCAATAAGAAACTAATACGTTTTCAGATTTCATTTTAAGTCTGGCTGCCATGTATTTTCTTCCTCCGTGTCTTTGTCCATAGGATGGCTCATTGGGAACCCCCAGGTAAAGCTGGAATGACTGGGAAGTGCCACAGAAGGCAGGTCTCCTAGAGAGCCTGGTCACACAGTGTGGCCAGGCCCCTGCTGGATGAGGGCCAGTTGTGCCAGACCTGGTTTGACACAGAGCTGCCTTTTCCCCATATGATCCCCTAGGACATGATGATGGGGGAAACTTCCTAACTGGTCAGTCTGCTGTTCAGTATGGGTGGCCCAAAGCTGAGCCCACCCACCAGGCTAGTTTGGGGTGGGGGGGGAGGGGGAAGAGGCCCAGGAGCACAGTCTGCAGGCGCCTTCTCTGCAGAAGGCAGGGGCTTGACCAATACTGGGACGAGAATGCAGCGATGTAATTATGCAGGCTCCCTGGCGACCATGGGCAACTCGCTTGACTTACTGCCTCATTTCTTTACCTAAAGACAGAAGTCTACTAGGAACTACCTCCCAGCATTGCTGTAAAACTTCATTATCACCGATACAAGTGGGTGTCTGGCACAGAGTAAGCACTTGATGAGTGTGAGCCATTATGATGATTAGGGTGACTATAGAACCATCTCTGACCCAGGTCGCCTCTGAAGTTGCTTGAGAACATGAGCTGAAGCTCACAGGGTCCCACCAGGAGGGGTTGGTGGTAGCCATGCGGAAGGTGCAATAGGATGCAGGCGAAGGGACGTGTCCAGGGCTGGTGCCGTGGGGCGTGATTCTGAAGTCCAGATGCTTTACCTGCCCCTGGCCAGCACCTCTAGGACCTTCGGGGTGTGCAGATGGGGCCTTGCTTGGGGTGGAAGAGTGGCTGGCACCAGCCTCAGAAGAGCCGCATGCCACTGGAAGTCTGGTTAAAAACTGGGTCTGCACGGCTGTCGCTGCCATGTTATCCGGGTCTCTGAGCCTCTCCTCTGTGACTGGCCTTCTCTGGGGGTGTCCGTTTGTGTTTGACCTCTCCCTATTGGAGCCCTGTCTTCTCATCCTTGAGATGGGACTACGGAGCCCAGGGCTGCCTCCTTCCTCTGGGGCCCCAGGGAGGACGCGTGAGCGTGGGCGGAAAGGCATTCTGGAACAGCAGGGTGTGGCTTGAAAGTGCCCCTGACAGCTTTATGAAGTCAGAGAACAGCTCTGGCCCTGGTGAATGCCAGGAGGCTGAGCAAGGCCCAGGCACTTGCCCCAAGGAAATGCTTTTTCCTTTTAAGGCAAGATATTTACATATTGAATTTTAGGGTCTGGTTAAAAAAGACCACTGCGAGCATTTGTGACCTTGTTTTCTAGCCTTATCGTACTTGTCCACTCTCCATGCTTCTCTGAGGCCTTTCGCAAATGCTCACCATGGCGGGCCCCTGTCACGGGGAAACCATGGTGAGAGAGAGCAGAGCCAGTGGGTGCTGAGGGTGGTGCTGGGGGAGACAGGCAGGGAGGAAATGGTCAACAACACAAGGCCCTGGGAACTGGGCACCATGGTGCTGGGTGCCTGTGAACAAGTCTGAGCTAAGGTCTGAGAAAGAGCAGGCTGGAAAAGCACTCCAGGAGCGGGAACAGCATGTGCAGAGGAACCCGGGCTTAGGAGGAATAGAAAGGGGAGCTCTCCTCCACCCTGTTGCCTCACCTTCCTCTCTTGGATACCTACATGACTCCACCTGAAATGCCTCCTCTTCCAGAAGGCCCTTCCTGACATTTCCTTCTCCCACACATCAGGGGCAGGATTCCCCTTACTGTCCCAACTCCTCTGTCCATGTCTCGCCTTCCCAATGGGCCATAGGCCCTCTGAAACTATGTCTCCTCCAGTGTAGGCCTGGAGTCAGTCCTGGACTTAAATCTGAGTCAAGGCCACTAAGTACTAGGACTTTGAGACTACCTCTCTGGGCCGTATCCTCATCTGGCACAGGGGGGTGTGGTGGGGATGTTGTGGTATGGCTGCATAGCCCGGGGCTGGGCTCTGGGCAGCTATGACAGCACCAGGCTTGCCAAGTGACTTAGAACAAAGAAGGGGCGGATTTGATCCAGAAATCCTTTGAGGGCTTGAATGGGCTTAGAGAAACTTAGACAGGGCTTTCCCAATTTGTCTGATGGTTAGAGACACTCAAGCTACTTGTTGGGAATGCAGGTTCCCAGGCCCCATTCCTCGGGTCTCATTCAGCAGATCTAGGGCAGGGACCAGCAGCCCGTGTTGTGATGCTCAGTAGGGGAAACTGAGGCACAGAGGAAGCATGCGATTTTCAAGAGTGACCAGTTATCCTGGTTCCTCTCTTAACAGCATCATGTACCCGCGCCCTTTCCCAAGTAACTCTGCAGGGCCATTCTCTGTGGACAGCTGCCCACTAGCAGAAGCACAGCATGTGTTTGTGTGGCTAGAGTTGGCCACAAGGCCCCACCGCTCACCACAAGAGAAACAAGCCTAGTAGATCAGAGAGCGAGGCAGCATGCAGAACAAGCTGAACCCACCCCATATTCTGGAGTCCTGCCCAGTGCTGAGAGCTTGGTGCTGAAATGCTAAGCCCTGGCTGACCCACACAGACTAGGAAGTGAGGCAGGACTGTGTGCTGCTGTGTGGGGCCAATTTGTTATGCAGCATTATCCTAGCAACAGGGCAAATGAAGGGCAAATGGATGGCAAAGCCGGATTCACACTCAGGTCCCTGCTCCTCGCCAGTGCTGGTTGCTCTCTGCTTTCTGTCTTTTGATTCTGAGGGCCCCCTCTGACACCCTCCTCTCTGGAAGCTTCCATTCTACTCCACCTCTGTTCACTGGCAACTTCCAGCTCCAGGCAGCGGGGGTCCATCCTGGCTGCTCTGCACACCAGCCCCAGAGTTCCCTAAAAGATGCACAGGGGACCCCTCCTGCAGTCAGGGAAAGGGCCCCAGGGGTCTCAGGGAATTTCCCACTTCTCCCAGCAGAAGGAGCTTCCTCTCTTCCACCCCGGTTGGAAACCTGGGCTCCGACCTAGAGCTCTGTCAGGCCGGAGAGACTCACAGCTGGGGCTTGGTAATCTGTTAGGTGTCTTTGCCAGCAGCCGCTGGCTTCTGAGGGTCCCCTCGATGGCCCGCCCCGAGTCAGCGCCGTCCGGACCCCACTCTGAGCGGCTGTAAGGCTTCTGTGCCCTGGGGGAGCTGCAGTGCAAGCTCACACATGCCTGCCTGGTCGCGGTGACGCCACAGATATTCGCAAACAAAACCACAGAGGGAGGCAGCCGCTCAGACTCTGGCCCGTGCTCAAATGAGCGCCACCCTCAGGTTCACACACACGCACGCGCACGTACGCACACGGAAATAGGACACGCGCAACCGTCACATGCAGCCGCATACCACGGTCACCTGAACACGCACAGCACACGCACATACTCACACCAGGAGCCCCACCACACAGGGACACGTCCTGGACGTGGCCAAGTGCCACATATTAGACCACGCCGATTCCTACCCTGCCCAGCTTTGTGACTCCACGTCTCTGAGTGTCGTCTGTGGGACACGGACGCCTCCTCCTCCAGGAGCCAGGTGGCTGTTTGTCCCCTCCTCCATGTCCTGTTCACGCCCTTCCTTCTTCTCAAATTTTCTTTCTTTCACTCCTGTTAGATTCCACCGGCCCGGGCAAATCCCACCTCCAGGAAGCCTTCCTGGGCCTCCTCTCTTGGCCCCCTGAGGACTACATGGGTCCCACCGAGCACCAGAAGAGAAGCTGGGCAGCTCGCTTGTATTCTCTCCTGGACCTTGGCTCCCAAGGCCGCTCTTCGACAGGGTCCCAGATGGTGCTTACGCAGGGGCGTGGCTAGGTTGTTGAAGGAAGAACTGACCCACAACACCAACCACAGAGCGTTCAGTCCAGAGTACTGTAAAGTGCAAGTCCTTCGGGTGCGAGGGGAGATGGGGAAATATCTCCTGGCCTGGAGGCATGGAGGTCTCAGGTGATGCTGAGGACGTAAGTCTCGGTGGGTCACGGGGCCAGAAGCCAAAGCGAGTTGACAGAAGAGTCAACGGGGGTAGAGACGCGGCCACGTTGTCTGGCAACGCTTGTTATTTGCCATGAAGGGGAGCAGGGAGGGGCGGGAGGGCTCTGGGGTCACAAAAGGCTGCAGCAGGTGAGCTTGGGAGGAGAGTTCTGCTGGAGATAGACAGAGTGAGGCAGGTACTCATGGACACGCAGGATGTGTGTGCGAGAAGGTGTAAGCTGGGGTGACCTCTCCCGGCCAGTGGGACCTGCAGAGTGATGGGGGCATTTCCCCCTCTCTCGCCGCCTGGAGCCTCCTGTCCCTTGCTCCTCCTGCATCCACAAGGGCCTGTGGCTCAGCCCTGACCCTAGGACAAGGACCACGGAGGGTGGCCCCTGGATCTCCAAGTGTGCCTGTGGGTCCCCAGCACGGGCTCGTGCACGTGCGTGAGACTGTATTTTTCCGTGTTCTCAAAGCCATGGAACCCTGGACCTTTCTGTCACCGTGGCTTCACTTTACCTCAAAAATACACGCTTAACATAAATGACAGCAATTATTACAAATACCACTACAATGGAGAGGTAGCACTTAACTCTCCCAGGTGGCTGGATCACATGAACAGCCTTTGAAGAGAGGAAATGCACCACAGATGGGAGGGAGTGTCTAATGAGGGCTGGCAGGGGCCCCATTTGGCACAGCATGGGGGGGCACTCCCTCCCGGCCTGCATTTGAAGCGCTTACCTGCTTGGTTGGTGGTGATGTTCACAGAGGCGAACTGAGGCGAGAAGGGGCTCTGGTCGGTGACGCCGTTCACGGCCTGGATCTCGAAGGTGTACTGGGTGTGGGCCAGCAGGTCGCTGATGTAAATGCGGGGCTCCGTCAGGCCCAGCTGGCGGGGTGCGTACTGCACGTTGTCCCCACAGCGGGTGCAGGCCCCCCGGCCGGAGCCACAGCTCTTGCAGATGATGTTATAAACCAGGTCCTCGCGGCCCCCCGAGTCCCGGGGCGGGGTCCACTCTAGCATGAGCGAGGTCTCGTTGACGCTGGAGATCACTGCCTGGGGGGCGGAGGGGATGGCTGGGGGACGGGGGAGAAGTGTGGGTCAGTGGGGGCTGTGGGTACATTTCCCAAGGCCGCGCTGCGCCCACTGCCCTGGCTCCAGCCTGGGCTTCCTCTCTACTCACCTCAGTGGTTTCTAGGCTGTAACTCATCCTGCTTGACACCCCCTAGATCCCAGCCGCCTCCGCGTGACTAGGAATGCTCTTTTGGTGTTGAGGATGATGCCCACCCTATAACAATTTCCCCTTCTGTGTAACTGAGCCCGGTTTTATTCGGGGTGACCAGATGTCTGGCCGCCAAGCCTACATTCCCCAGGCTCCTGTGAATAAGGGCTGGCCATTGGCACAGAGCAAAGTTGTTAGCTAGGACTTTTTCTTAAAGGAAGAGAGAAAGGGCCCCTCTGTGGTGCAGGGGTTTAGTCTCAGCACTGTCAAGCTATCACCAGCCACTGCAGCATCCCCGGCCAGAGAGCTGACTCACAAGGTGCAGCAGACCTCTCCTGTCTTGCCTACTGCTCCCCTCACCAATGTAATTCAGTAGGTCTTCCTGTCCTGCTCCCCACTCTGTCTCTGGTGAATCCTCTCACCCTCTATACCTGTGGGTTCTTATGTGCATAAATAAATAAATATTTTAAAAAAGGGAAGGTAGATGTCTCTTTGTTCCTGTCCTTTCTGCTGCCTACGATGTATGTGATGGCTGGGACTTCTGCAGCCATGTTGGACTATGAAGTGAGCTGAAGGATAGAGATCATAGGCTGCAGAAGGCAGAGCCAGGTCCCAGAGAATGTCCTGGATTGACGCGACCACCCCCGGACAGCCTGTCCTCAGGCATCTTTAACATGAGAGAATACATCTTACTGGCCTAAGCCACTGGGCCAGCTCTCTGCTATCTGCAGCTGAATGCCGTTCCTGTCTGATATGGGGGCTGTACAGTGCCCTTTCTCGGAGAACCTTGGCCTTGATGCAGGCAGCTGCTGCCAGGTTAGAACACTGCCAGGCACCACATGCGTTGGTTCTTCTGATGCTGAGCCTCCCAGCCTCCCCTCCTTTGTGAACCAAGACCTTGACTTTATCCTCCATATGACTTAACAGAAGGGGGTAGGATGCCAGATGCCAGCTCTGTGGTCTCTGCATGCTGGCAACGTGACCACCCCGAGACGGCTCTTTGCCAGTGGGTTTTCTATCCCCCTCCCACCAGGAAACTGGCTGCACCTCGCTGGGGAAAGGCTGGCAGTGGCCGGACAGTTGCCCAATCTTTGCTCTGGGTTTTCCTGTGGATTCTGCACTCAGCCGGGCATGGCCCTCCCAGGGTCCCAAACGTACTTGTGCAGGGCATGTCCAGGGGGTCCAGGTCTGCTCTGTAGTAGCCATTGCGGCAGACACAGTTGGTGGCCCCTTCTGAAGTGGTCCGGCTGTTGATGGGACAGTGGGTGCAGGCCTCATCCCCTTGGTTAGCCTTGAAGGTTCCAGATGGACAACCTGGGAGAAAAGATGAGGGAAACCAGGTAAGGACTCAGAAGGCCACAGGCATGGAAAGACCATGCAGGCCACGTAAGGCCACACAGTGTCGTCAGGGACCACGTGACCTCAGGAGGGGCCCTCGTCTCACGGAGGAGTCACACAGCACCCTTGCTGGGGATCCCCCTCTCCTAAGTCCCATGGAGTCTCTGGGCTCCACTGAGGAGACCCCAGCCATGCACAAAAAGCTCCAGAATGACCAGCCTCCCCCACCTGCCGGAGCTGCTGCTGACTCAGCCTGCAGTACCGAGGACAGCCTGAGGGGGGTAGCGTTGGCACTCGAGGCATTTAGCAACCCGGGTTCTCCCAGTGGCTTTGGCCTTCCTGCTCATGATTTTGTCTAAGCCCTGCAGCTCAGCGCTTAGTTTTCAGCCTTCTCCAGCCTCAGCGACCTTGGTGCTGACATGGAGTTCAGAGTACTTGCCTCCCCTACCATCATTGTTCATTCTGAGGGCCCAGGCCACGCTTGTGGCTCGCACAGGCCTGGAGCCATCGCTGAGTCACAGCTACTCCCCTATGTCTTGCACAGAACTGGGCTCTGAGCAGGCACCTATAAGGACTTCTCGAAGCTGCCCGCTTAAGTGGGAAGAACATGGGCATCGGAGATGATCAAGCAGAAAGGCAGATCATGCCAAGGTGAGGGTGAGGCGAGTCCCAGCTACCTGTGGCAGTGCTGCTTGAGCAAGCCACAGATGTTGCCTCGTCTGTCAAGTGGGGACAACAGTATCTCCTAGAGGATTACATTGGTTAATTTGGGCAAAAAAGCTAGGCCAATTCCTGGCAGCATTATTTTATTTATATGTCTATTTACATTATTGCAATTCCTGGCATTATTAAGCTCCTTCTGGTTTCAATATACTAGTCTCTACTGGCAACCTCAAACAAATTGCTCAACCTCTCTGACCTGCAGTTTGCTCATGTGTAAGTGGTGGGGAGCGTTTCCGGTGATGGAAAGTGTCTGGCTGGGTCAGGGATGGGTGGTAATTCCAGGGTTTTGTGGGTGCTCAGCTAATGAGCCAAGGGTAACTTCCCCTGGTTGCTGGGCATGCACACCTTGGGTCCTGCCTTTTGGAGGGAACTCCTGGAAGGGGCAGCTGTTCTAATCAATGACCCCCTGGCTGGTGCCACCCTGAGCAAGCCCCACGGGGAATCACCCTGAAGAAGCGGCTCCAGCCCAGTTGTTCAGGAGCCCAGGCGAGAGAGCAGCCAAGGCCCGGGACGTCACCGTGCGGGCTATCTGTTGACCGGTGACACAGCCTCTGGGAGCACCCAAACCCTCTGCACACACGGGAAGCCAGGGTGCCGGCGTGTGAAAGTGGGGGCCAGCATCTTCCTAGTGACTTTACACACACTAATTCCCCTAAGCCTCACAGGGCCGTGGCCAAGTCATCACCCCGAATTTCAGAGGGGGAATAAAAGCAGTATGGGGCTTCCTGGGGCAGAGCTGGGGCCACCCCAATCACACCTTGAATCGCTTTGCTTTGAGTCAGGGGCCCAGGGGAGCTGGGCAGGATTGACAGCTCCGGCTCGGGGAGCCCCTCCCTGGCTCTCCCTATGTTGCTGCCCTAGTTGCAGTCCCTCGAGTCCATCTCAAGTCCATCTTCCATCCTCCCCCTTCGCATTTTCTTCTTAGGCACCAACCTTCCCCGCCAGCTGGCCAAAGGGCAGTCACGACTCCCTCCCCCACCCCGAACTGTCCAGTCACGACTTTGGACTGCAGCCCCTGCTCCCATGGAGAGTCGAGTGCCCTGAGTCTCAGATTCTCTGGCTCTGCAAAGGAACCGGGCTCCTGTGAGGGTCAGATCATGTGATAGGGTCCCCAACACCAGGATGCTCCTGGCTCCCCCCGGGTGAGAGCCTGCCCAGCTTAGCATGCCCCTTCCATCTGCTAACAACTCCCTGGCCCTGTTGGCGGGGGGCTGCCCACTCTCCTCCTGTGGGGTGCCAGCCCCTCCCTCGGGCTGCCTTCCTGGCTGTGCTCTCTGGCCACCCTCTCCGCTCCTCCAGGAGCCTGCCCTTATTAGGTGTGCTGCCTGGGTCTGTCGCGCTGTGCATCATAAAACCTGCTTTTCTGTCCCGGGAAGAGACCTCAGTGTCTACCTAGTGACCAGGATCCCTCCATCCCTCTTCCTCAGGCTCTCTGACCAGGCCTCCCTCCTTAGCAGTGTCCCTCCATCCTCTTATCCCCCACACAATCAGAAAAGATCCCACCCGCCTCTGCCCCTTCCCCTTCCCCTCTCATGGCCAGCTTTCTGTGCAATTTCTTTGTGTCACCTAAAAAATCCACAATGGCCGCTGTGGAATATTATTCAGCCATAAAAAGGAACACAGTACTGATACACGCTAACACGTGGCTGACTTGCAAACACTGCTCAGCGAAAGAAGCTGTTCACATGGTGGTGCACGCTTCCATTTACGTGAAAATGGCCAAGAAAAGGCCCGTCTATGGAGGCAGAATATTATTAGAGGCTGCCAGGGGCTGGGGAGAGCAGAGCGAAGAGTGACGCTAATGGGTAATGGGGTTTCTTTTGAAGCTGATGAAAATGCTTTCAAATTGACTGTGGCAATGGTAGTGCAATTTTGCGAATGCACTAAAGGCTGAATTGTACAATTTAAATAAGTGAATTGTATGGTATGTGAATTATACACAATAGAGTGGCTATTAAAAATGAATCCACAAAGCTCCCCGAACTCCTCCAAGCCCTCCCAGCCCCAGAGACTCCTCCAGTTGTCTCTGCAGCCTCAGCACTCACCTCCCTGTCTGTGCCCGCTGCTCCTCAACTATAAAGTGTCCACCTGGACCAGCACCCTGCCTCTGCGCTTTGTCCAACCTGCCCTCATTCCCAGAGATGCTCCTTCTTTGTCATCAGACAAGATCCTACGTTGCTTTCAGACCCAGCTCCGACATCCCCTCTTGCAGGAAGTCTTCCCAAAGCCCGCAGGCAGACTTGAGGTGCTTATTTTAATCACTGTGTGTCGTCTGTCTCTTCCCTGCACTGGGGGCGCCTGGAGCCGGCAGAAGGCCAGGTGTGTTGGGCTCTCATTGGTTCCCTAGCGCCCGGTGGGAACACAGCAGGTGCTCCCTATTTGCTGAACGGTGGACTATGTCCCTAAAGGGCGTTGGGGTGAGAACTACTTGGCCAACCCCTGCCAGGCTTGGTGCCAGCCTTCATCCTTGTTTTCATTGGGCCGCCTGGCTGCCTGGGCTCCTCTCTGCTTCCCACTGGTCTTTTCCAGGGGTCCTCCAGGGATCCGTCCACTAGGGAGACAGCTCAAACTGGGCTTCGAGCCAGGAGTTTCTCTGGACATGCCTTCTGGATACTTCTCCAGTCCTGGTGCCACCTCTCATCTGTTTGCAGTTTCTGGACACCCTGAATACTCGTCCGGTCTCCCCACCTTCCTGCTCCCTGCACCTGTGGGAGACTCTGCCCCAAGCTCTCTCGTGCAGGCAACTCAGCTTCCTGGCTGCTCTGTAGGTGATGCTCTGCTGCTGAAGGGTTGACTGGGGGCAAAAAGGGCAGTCCTGATTGTCACATCTGCCAATTTCTGTGGTGTAAATGCGCCCATCAGGGCAAACTTCAAGCTACCAATCTGAATATCTGAACACTGAGTTGGCAAGAAATGCCCGTTGTCAGCACTTGTGAGCCAAGCTGGCACAAACCAGCTCCAACACCCCTGACCCAAGCTGTACGGGCCTGATGAAGCCTGGTTGGGGCAGGGGCTCAGGCACACAGTAGGCGCTCAGTTGATTCAGTTGCTAAATGAAGCTCTGTCCTCCCCCGCCACAATTGGCCAGGGAATCACTCGAGGGCAGGGGACAAGGGGTGGATCGGCTTAATACACAGAGTGCTTAGAACTCACTGCAAGTGCTGTACAAATGTTAGCTGTTTTTACCCAGCCAGCACGGGCAATCCCCCTCTATGTTCCAAGTGAGAAACCCCGGGCAAATGGTTTACATGGATTCCCCCACTAAACCCATACCCCACATTGAAGTATCGCTCCTATTTTACAGGGGAGGGAACTGAGGCTCAGAGGAGGATGACGTGACCTCCCCAAGGTCACACAGCTGCTGAAGGGCTGAGCTGGGGTTGGACCCCAAGTCCTGTGGTTGCAGAGACCCTGTGCCCAAGGTACTGCTGGCACAGCAATTATGGAGTCAGGGCTGGAGACCATCTTGTCAGGCTACTGAGGGGCCAGGGCTGGCTGGGGTCACTCAGCCTAGCCTGGGTCCCCAAGCGGCCAGCCGGCCGGCACCTGACATCTGCAGACGCCCAGAGCCTTCGGCCAGGCAACCCAGGGCGGGGATGGCAGCGGGCCGGAGAGAGGGAGGGAGGATTACAGGGAAACAGATTTCTCCCCGCCTGCCCCCCTGGGCTCCAGGGATAGGTGATAATTGACCGAGTGAGCCCCGAGTCAGGCCGAGGCAGGGCTCCATCTGGGCCTGGCACGGTGGGGCTGCTAATTGGCACCGGCTGATCCTCGAAGCCTCCCCGGCTGGCCTGCTGCTCTGCATCCCCTCTCCTCGCAGAGACTGGTTTATTCTCCCAAACTCTACTGATGCCTCAGTGGAGCCAACTTCTCAATCAGGTCCAGTGCGCCAGCTTTGGGGGCGGGGAAAGGGCTGTCTTCCTGGGGCGCCTTTAAACCAGGACTCTGCTTCTGGAGAGAGGCAGACATCCAAAAGCTATGCTCACCACAGTTCAGCTTCGACCGCTAGAATCTAGCGGAAGGGCAGATGAGACTGCCAGGCCTGCTCGGGTCCTGCTAGCACTGTGCCCACGGGCAAGTTGCCCAGCCTCTCTGTGCCTCAGTCTCCCGCCTGCATAATGGGGAGAATGACAGCTCTGGTTCTATTTATTGGGAAGATGGCGTTAAACAGAGAAAGCCCTTGCAACTGGGCCTTCTGGTTCCCAGTGAGGGCCGTGTGCTCCTGGTGTGCCACTTGCTATGTGCTAAGAGAC